TTCTGCTTTTAATCTATCTATCTCATCCTCTCGTGAGATAAGATTTTTTTCAAGATATTTAATATATAACTCACATCATTCTAGATCATTTGTGAGCTTTCGAATCTTTTCCTTATTTTTTATGGTAATAGTTTCCTCTTTAATCAACTTTATTCGCAATTCTAAATTGCTATCCAATAAATTGAGATATACCTGCTCAACTCCCATTAATTCCTATTATTCCAATAGATTCTGGTGAGGCTCGAAATGTAGATGTGTCTTTAGCTTTACGCAAAATTTATTATCAGCCTTTGGACTATCAGAGGACTGTAAAAAAATTACATAAAGCCTCTAAAAAGGTTGGGTATGATTTTTCACTTGATGAGATACGTGACTGGCTTGATAGACAGGCTATACATCAGATACATAAACCTCGTCTTAGATTTATTCAGTATGCTTCTTTTAATAATATACAATTTTTAAATGAAGTATACCAATCTGATACTACCCTATGCCTCATGATAAAGTAGGTAATCGGATTTACAAGTATAGGGGTATTATTAAAGATGTTGCAACTAGGTATCGTTGTAGTTTTGCGTTAACTGATAAATCTTCTGCACAAATGGCTAAGAATATTCAAAAAATTTATGATGATCCTAAGGAGTTTCTCTCTTGGCCGAATTATTTTAATTCAGATAAGGAGACAGAATATATGGGAAATTGTAAGAGTTTATTGCTTAAACATTATGTAAAAATATAATATGCTAAAACTAAGAAAGGTAATGCTATAGCTGAACGTGATCATAAAGAATTTGAAAAGCATTCTGGTATTCAGCAAGATGCTATAGATTTTCTGTTACCTTTATCAAATCGTTCTAGAAATTGGATTAGAAGTCTTCATGTTAATGATAATATATTTAATAATACTCCTACTCAGTTAATAGATATATCTCCTAATGAAGCGGTAGAAAGAGCATTTAATGGGAAAAAATAATTGCTAAGCCAGCTGTAAAACATAGAAGACCTATTGGATATAACGAACCTTGTTTATCCTATTATGACTTAGTGAGATATCTTCTTAAACCAGGAGAGTTAGAATATGGCCCTGCTAGAAGATGTGCTACTGATATGAATTGGTCTCCTCAGATTTATCATATTCACGAATCTTTTATACAAAAAAATCAGCCGGTCTTATACTAGCTAATAGATGATAAGGGCAATGGCCCAAAAAGATCCTTTGTAAGAAAAGAATTGATGGTTATTCCTGATACTGAATTACCACCCCAGTGGGTACTTGCAAATTAAATTGATGACAGGAAGTCTTCAGTTTCTTCATTAACCTGTTCTTCTGTATTGAAATAATCCTTAGCTAATTTATAATATAACTTATATAGGTCTATAACAGCATTGAGAATTTTTGGATCTTTTCCATACCAAGATTTATAGTCATCCATGATTTGATGATACTTATCCTTAGTTGGAAATAATCTTTTTGCATTTTCTAGGATATATTCATCAGGGTCTTCTGCCTAACGCAATTTCTTGACTCTTTCTTTATATGATTGCATGAATTTACCTTCCTTTGGCTTTCTATAATAAATGCCAGCCTTGACGACATTTATTAATGCCTGTTCGATTTCCTGATATGTGGGCTTTGTTTCAGTTAATTGAATTTGTGTACTCATTATGTAATTAGTATAAGTATTACTATATTGTGTAAAGATTTATTCAATTAAAATTAATTATATATTTAGAAAATGAAAGCAGAATTTATTTGTAATTATCTTCATAATTCTGGCAATATTTGTGATAAAGTCTGTACTCGACCTGAAGGTTATCGATCACACTTCAAGGCTAAGATGCGTCGGCTGTGCTTTATTTGTAGTAAACCTACTGGGATAGATAATGACCTATGTAGCGATTGTAATAAGAGCAATTATCAGATCCAATATGTGAACAGGCTTTGGAATAAGGCTCAGATGTATAATTTGTATACTTTAACCTGTGAGCCAAAAGTCTAACCTCTGATTCGTAAGTCTAACCTCCCTTTTTTCTCACTAGATTCGAAAAAAGAAGCTAAGCTTTCTCCTACAGAAGCCTTTCTCAATCACAGATTTCAGAATAATCTCCCGCAGTCTTTGGACAAGGGAGGGGTGTAAAAAAAATCGGTTCTAGAATAGTTTCTAGTATATTATAAATTTGTATATGGTAGGAATATATTTTTTTTCGTCTAGAAAGCTTTTTTTTGATAAATACTAAGTCTAACCTTTGATTCACAAAATCTAACCTCTAACCCAGAAGTCTAACCTCTGGTATATTTTTTTTGTCCCTAGTATTTTGCGAAGATTTACCTCTAGAATGGTTTCCTGTATATCAGAAAAACTAAGTATACAAGAAACAATTCCTTAGCTATTAGAACTGTAACTTGGTAATAACTAAGTCTAACCTCTTCGAGGTTAAACTTAGCATTTTGGTACCTAGAGGTTAACTTTGAGATTTTTGGTTAGACTTAGTGACCCTTTGTTTATATGTATTTCGCCTATGTATTACTACTCAAAATTTGGAGAAATATATTGCATATGATAAGTTTTCTCTGGTAACAATTCATTGACAAATATCAACTAAATGAAATAAAGATAATAAAAATCTGATAATCATATTATCGAATTTATAAAGAATTTCATTTACTGTATCCTATTTTAAAATAGAGTTGTCTAAAATAGAAATCTTTAATTTGCTTAACATTCCTTGGTATAAAAAAAACGAAAAAAAATAATATTTTTTTTTTTTGATTGCGTGTAATGATTATTTTTAAATATTACATTTTTTTTTATTCTAAGAATATTCTTGAAGCGCGTTCGTTCGATTTATTAATAGTGTAACATTAAATAAATATCTGACTGTGAATTTTTTTTTGTTAAATTTTTTTATGAACTAGTACCAAATTCCAGATAATATATTTTCATGTTTATATTTTTCTAATTGCAAATTTAAACCTTTAAAAGCAATTTGATCGATTTTACTAAAAGAGAAAAATTGTACTTTTTACCTGGGTAATAGAGCAAAATCGATTAAATTTCCTTAGGTAGAATCAAACAACAATTCAAACTGAATTGTACCAATATGCTATAGATGCTATATATACTAAAGAAATATTCCATCAACATTTTCTGATGGTAATAGCTCACTTCGGATAGCCTAACCTTTTTGTATCCTTTACATGTAATCCTAAGTGGCCGGAAGTAATCAGAAAATTATTACCTCATCAGAGCAGTGAACATGACCAAATAACTTTGTGTATAATCATTTTAGCAACAGATTTATGTAACCTTAGTAATAACGATTTTATATATAGTCACGTGATCACGGAAAAAATTTATTTATTTTATTTATTTAAATTGACAATAATTTTCTAAGTTGATGATTCTAAACTAGAGTAGATACAAATAAAGTTATTATTGGCTATATTGCTGTTAAATCATTAGCAAAATGAATCACTCTTCCTTCAAAATTAAAATCTTCATTTATTTCTTTAGTTAATAATACTTTATTAGGATAATCAAAAATATTTTCATATCCAATAGCTTTAATCTATTCTTTAACAAATGCATTCTATTCTTATTCTTCAATATAAGGTTTGGAAGATTCATTTAAAACTTATAGGATTGTAAAATTACTGTAAATAAGGTTATAAGAGTTACATTACAAAAGTTATAATACATGTAAGTTATAGTAGAGCAAAAATGAGAGTTCTGGGGTCAGAATTCGAAAAGGTATTTCAGAATAGTCCCAATCTTATTTTTAAAGCCTTCTAGCTATATGAATCCTCTATTGAATTTCAAACTCTAGCCCAAATTTAAGCTCTTCTCGCTATCCATATTTGGTATCAATTTTGGCATTAAATTACCCCGCAGGATACCAAGAATAAAACAATCTCTTATAGCCTTTCTAGCCCAATTTTAGTCCCAATTAATATATCAAAAAAAATATACCATTCTGTTTGGGTTCGATATGAGGCGAGATTAGCAAGAACTGAAGGTTCGAAGCCAAGCTCGTGAAATCTCTGCAAACCTTCTGTGTATAATATTATTTATGATATTCTAGAATTAATTCTAAAGTTGATTCATGGTCATAAACAAAGGGTCACTAAGTCTAACCAAAAATCTCGAAGTCTAATCTTTAGGTACCAAAATGCTAAGTCTAACCTCAAAGAGGTTAGACTTAGCTGTTATCAAGTTACGGTTCTAAGAGCTAAAGAATTGTTTCTTGTATACTTAGTTTTTCTGATACACAGGAAGCTATTCTAAAGCTGAATCTTCGCAAAATACTAGGGACAAAAAAATATATCAGAGGTTGAACTTCTGGGTAAGAGGTTAAACTTACGAATCTGAGGTTAGACTTTTGGCTCACAGGTTAAAGTATACTGATCATACATCTGGGCCTTATCCCGAAGTATGTTTACATGCTGAATCTGATAATTGCTTTTATTATAATAGCTACATAGGTCATTATCGACCCTATAGGTTTATCTATCTTTGTAGGTCTATTATAAGCAGAGCATGGCCGGCGTTTCTTAGCCTTGAAGTGTGATCGACAACCTTCAGGTCTAGTACTACGTTTGCCACAAATTTCACCAGTATTAAAAAGATAATAACA